ATTACAGACATGCGCCACCATGCCTGGCTAATTTCATATTTTTAGTAGATACGGGATTTCTCCATGTTGGTCAGGCTGGTCTCAAAATCCCGACCTCAGGTGATCTTCCCACCATGGCCTCCCAAAGTGCTAGGACTGCAGGCGTGAGCCACCATGACTGGCCAGGGCCTTATTCCCTTATGAAGGCTCCCATGTCACGTAAAACCTATTAAGTAAATGTATATGCTTTTCTCCTATCAATCTATTTTTTTGTGGGGCCTCAGCTATGACCTAGTGATGGGAAAGGAAGAGATTTCCTTTCCCCCACGTTTGCCTCTGCCTTCCTCTCATAAAGACACTTACCATAATGCTTAGGACCTGCAGGATAACCTCCCCATTGCAAGATAGTTACTAAAATCACATTTAAGCTGTGTTCCTGAAATACAAATCACATTTGCAAAGTCTTTTTTATTATACAAATTAAAGTTTTCAAGTTCTGAGAATTAGGAAGTGGATATCTTAGGTGGGAGGGAACATTATTATGTCTACAACACCATGTGGGCCACTCATTAATATTGGGCTTATGTAGACCTTGCCTAGATTTCCTACTGCATGAGAAAGGTAAAAATAACATTTCATTTCACATCGGGATTTGTTCAGCACAGTAAGTTCTGTGGAGAACTCCAACTAGAGCACCTGACATTCAAGATTATGGGGCAGTAAATAATTGAATAAAAGAAATGTAATAACTAAAGAAGTTCCATAATAAATCTCATAGATTAATTGAGGGCAAAGTGATTTTATATTCAAATAAATCTGTTTCTTGCCTTCTATCTCTATCTCTTTAATTAAAGACACACTCAAAGCTAACAGGAGTCAGCCTGTGTTGAAAATCTGAAGTAGGCTTGGCACAGTGGCTCACACCTGTAATCCCAGCACTTTGGGAGGCCGAGGTGGGTGCATCACCTGTGGTCAGGAGTTTCAGACCAGCCTGGCCAACATGGTGAAAACCCGTATCTACTAACAATACAAAAACAATTAGCTGGACATGGTGCCTGTAATCCCAGCTACTTGGAGGTTGAGGCAGGAGTATTGCTTGAACCCAGGAGACAGAGGTTGCAGTGAGCTGAGATCCACGCCACTGCACTCCAGTCTGGGCAACTGAGAGAGAATCCATCTCAAAAAAAAAAAAAAAAAAAATGTGTATATATATTTATAAAATTTCCCTAGTAACTGATGATGTTTAAAATCTTTTCATGTGCTCACTGGCCATATTTATGTCTTTTTAATTAAGGTATTTGGTCATATCTTTTGCAGTTAAAAAGAATGAGTTCTTATTGAAAAAATAAATTTTAGAGACAGGGTCTCTGTCACCCAGGCTGGAGTGCAGTAGTGTGATCATAGCTCAGTGTAGCCTCAAACTACTGAGCTCGAGCAATCCTCCCTACTCAGCCTCCTGACCTTGTTCTACAGGTCTATCCCACCACTCCCAGCTAAGTTTTTAATTTTTTCAGAGACAGAGCTGGGGATAGTAAGCAGGGGGATAGGGAGATATTTGTAGAGGTCTTGCTATGTTGCTCAGGCTGGTCTTGAACTCCTGGCCTCAAGCAATCTACCCACCTCTGCCTCTGGAGTAGCTGGGATTACAGGCTCGAGCCACTGCACTGGCTAGAGATACTTAATCTGGTTAAGAAAATGCAAATTGTACCACTAGAGAAACCTTTATTTTTCCCTTTGAACTGAGGATTACATGATAAGGATCCTTCCAATGCTTCATTCCTTAAGAAACAAGGGTGGGGTTGGGAGAGATGGGATGTAGGGATGGAGAGGAATCTGACTTCAACCATCAATGTGGGTTTGAGAATCTTGGATCCACCCCCCTCCAAGTATTGACATGCAAAGAAACAGCATGAAAAGGGAAAAGCATTTAAGGGCTGCTGGATTTGAGTGAAAAGGCAGAGGTTTATACCATTTGTAATATATGAGAATCTTCATATTCCCTTTTTTAAAGAAGAGGAAAACTGTGTGTGCGTGTGTGTGTGTATAATTATTTGGAAGAGCTGATTCTCACTGATACTAAATGTCAATTTCAGAAGTTTGAGTGACAACATCTGGTGACTCCTTTACAAATGCTAGGACAGGAGCAGGTGTCTCTCAGAAACGAGATAAGCTTTACTTTTTAAAAATTGTGCAGGATGTCACTGTATTTTCAAGGAATTTATGACGTGCTAAATTAATATAGATTTGCTCATATAAAAGTTAACATAAAGCTCCATTTTCCATTGCTTTCATATGGAGAAAGTGTTTTGACTTCCAAATAGTGTTTTACCTCTAAACAATTTTAAATATCTTTGCCAATAACGGGACGGTATACTTCATTTGCCTTCATAGCTGTGTTCCTGAAATACAAATTACATTTTTATAACAGAAATTGAATATTAATATTCTGAGACTCCTCATTCTGTAACGAAATTGGTATATGTATGCTAAAAGCAGAGCATACATAGATTATACATTGTTTCTATAATAGAGAAACTGAGGGAGAAGAGAATCAGTGACTTCAAAACACCAACAGGCAATGATAACACTGGGAAGAGATACAGGACTTTTGACTTCCAGCCAGAACCATGAAAAATATACGAACTTCCCTTCCTGAAGCAGAGCACATATTTATTATTGACTATAGATTTAAAACCTAAAAAAAAAAATTGTATTTTTATTCTCTAAGGCATTATTTCAAATATGAATTACCTGGAAAATTATTTCAACTGTGCACTTCATTGTGTCCTATGTGGGCCCAGCCTTGATTATCAACAGATTTCGTTTTGTATTATTATTTGATTAAGTCTCAATCCTAGGTGGAGTATTTAGATTTGCTATTCAGATTTGCTACTTTTTCACTCATGGATTAGCTCTGCACTTGGGGAATCTCTGGACAGCATCAAACCCATCTACAGAATTCTGTGATTTAATTTCACTTATGAATTGAAGGGGCTTACAGCTGTCTTCACATTTAAATGAGGACATACTGAGATGTTGCCCTCCCTGACAGATACAATTCCCTAAAGAGCAGGACTTCTGCACTCCTCGGCATAGATAGTTTGACTAAGAAGAATAAAACTAGCACACACAAATATAAGCATACCATCTGAGACTTTCAGAAAATAGGGATCCTGAGGGAAATCTAAGAACATAAATAACTTTGCGGGCTTTTTGTTGTTGTTGTTGTTTTTGTTTGGTTCTGTTTGAGAGATCTTGGTTGAAAGAGATTTGTGTTCTTTCCAGATGCACAGCTGTGGAGTCTCTGGGGGAATTTCTTGATCTTTTTCATTTTTGCATATCAGCCAAAAACTGAAATCTAAGCACCAATGTAGTATCATAAATCCCCACAGATATTACATTTAGAAAACCAGGTTTTTCAAAGAAGACTAGAGAAAGAGCTGATTAAAATCTAAGCTGGAAATTCTGAGGGCTGGGCTGCACCCTTGGGTAGCAGGATGAGGGGAAAGACAGCTGAACAGGTGGGATGAACAAAAAAAAAGGGCTTTGTTTTGTGGTTACTTTTGTTGTCATTGCTGTTTGTTTAGTTCTCACCGTGACTCTAACCACTAGTATAAACTTGACCAAATTAACTGGGCTTTTGTTATCTCAGTTACACTGGTGAAATAAATATTTGTTATATGAAAACAAATTAGTGAATAAACCATAGGTCAATTTGCACTCTCTTTGTAATTAGCTATGTGGCATTAGCCAAGAGATTTGATCTCTACTCCTTTATTTCCCTATCTCATAAGCTAGTATAAAATCTATTCTGGGCTGGGTGCGGTGGCTCACACCTATAATCCCAGCACTTTGGGAGGTGGAGGCAGGCAGATCACCTGAGGTTAGGAGTTCAAGACCAGGCTGGCCAACACAGAGAAACCCCGTCTCCACTAAAAACATAAAATTAGCCGGGTGTGGTAGCGCATGCCTGTAATGCCGGCTACTCTGGAGGCTGAGGCAGGAGAGTCACTTGAACCTGGAAGTTGGAGGCTGCAGTGATCTGCCATCATGCCATTGCATTCTAGCCTGGGCAGTAAGAGCAAAACTCTGTCTTTCAAAGAGTTTTTTGTTCTTTTTTTTTTTTGAGTCAAAGTGCTGCCCTATCTTGCAGACTGAAGGGCAATGGCATGATCATACTTCATTGAAGCCTCGACCTCCTGGGCTCAGGTGATTCTCCCACCTCAAGATCCTGGGTATCTGGGACTGCAGGTGCATGCCACCACATGTGGCTAGTTTTTTATATTTCTTGTGGAGATAGCTTTTTGCTATGCTGCCCAGGCTGGTCTTGAACTCCTGAGCTCGAGTGATCCTCCTGCCTCCGCCTTGCAAAGAGCTGGGCCTCTAGCTGTGAGCCACCATGCCTGGCCTCCATACTTCTCCTTCCCCTGAAGAAAGAGGAGGAATGAACTAAATATTCTCACTTTGCTTTTCTCCTTCCCTCTCGTCTCCTGGGAAAGCTCCTACTGGCCAAACCCAACAGGACACCAGAAGACAAGAGAGTCAGTTTATGAAATCCACACAGGTTCACCTCCTGGGGAAGGAAGCAGGGTGGAAAAGGATGGAGAATGTATAGCAATGAGCAAAGGACCTGGCCAACCTACTCTAGTGTTCACCAGAAAGAGCTGCAGTAGGGATAGGGAGGGTGAGACTTACCCAGAAATAAATGTTGAAGTTGGCGGGCGTGGTGGCTCATGCTTATAATCTCAGCACTTTGGGAGGCTGAGGCAGGTGGGTCACTTGAGGTCAGGAGTTTAAGACCAGCCTGACCAACATGGTGAAATCCTGTCTCTACTAAATACAAAAAATTAGCTGGGCGTGGTGGCGCATGCCTATAATCCCAGCTACTTGGGAGGCTGAGGCAGGAGAATGCCTTGAAACCAGGAGGCAGAGGTTGCAGTGAGCCGAGATTGTGCCGTTGTACTCCCACCTGGGCCATAAGAGTGAAATTCTGTCTCAAAACAAAACAAAAATAAAATAAATGTTGACGTCCAACGGGTAGTTCCAAAATACCCGTCCAAACCCCAAGAGTCCTTATTACTTCCCATGTGTTTTGGTTTCCTTTTTGTCATCTCTTATCTATAAAATATCTACTTTTTTGGGGGGGGGGCGGACAGAGTTTTGCTCTCGTTACCCAGGCTGGAGTGCAATGGCACGATCTCGGCTCACCGCAACCTCCGCCTCCTGGGTTCAGGCAATTCTCCTGACTCAGCCTCCTGAGTAGCTGGGATCACAGGCACGCGCCACTATGCCCAGCTAATTTTTTGTATTTTTAGTAGAGATGGGGTTTCAACATGTTGACCAGAATGGTCTCCATCTCTTGACCTTGTGATCCACCCACCTTGGCCTCCCAAAGTGCTGGCATTACAGGCGTGAGCCACTGCTCCCTGCTGAAAAAAACTTTTTAAAAGTGCCATGTCCAGGCCAGGTGCGGTAGCTGACACCTGTAATCCCAGCATTTTGGGAGGCTGAGGCAGGTAGACTACCTGAGGTCTAAAGTTCAGGACCAGTCTGGCCAACATGATGAAACCCTGTCTATACTAAAAAATACAAAAATTAGCTGGGCATGGTGGCGGGCGCCTGTAATCCCAGCTACTCAGGAGACCGACAGGAGAATTGCTTGAACCCGGGAGGCAGAGGTTGCAGCGAGCTGACATCACGCCACTGCACTCCAGCCTGGGCAACAAAATAGAAACTCTGTCTCAAAAAAATAAAATAATAGAAAATAAAATAAAAGTGCCATGTTTGTACACACTGGCTAATCATAGCTTCAGGTGGGATGGATACTGATTTTACCAACCTTGTCTTTTACGTCTGATTCTGGAAGAGTCAAGATGCCCCTTGTTTGGCAGTAGAGGGGAAGAAATAGTGTGAAGTCCTTTGCGACCCTGTGCAAGTTTTGTCAGGGAGAGGGGACCACATCAGCAGCAATAATCAACCAACCAGTGGGATCCACTTAGTGGTGAGTGGACTGGCTGTTTAATTGGTAAGAGTCACCAGCCTGACCACACTACAGCATGGCCACATGGGTTCCTGTAGAGATGGCCTCAGTTTCCAAAATTCCCCCCAGATGTTTGCTTCTTGCCCAATTGAGAGGAGATCTTGGGAATCCCAAGTGGAAGTCATGACGTGGCACCCTGCCAGGCTGTGTAGACGAACTGAATGAATATATGAAGTGGGGGTGGGGGTCAAGGGGCTATTACTGCTCTTTGGAAATATTTACCTCTTGTAGATCCTGCCTTAATGGTTTTCTGACATCCTAGTTCTAGCAAACCCTGCACAAAGTGGGTATCAGCGTTGAAACTGTGGAGACAAAATAATGAGAATAATTTGTTAAAGACAATGAAGTATTGCATAATGTCTGCATTTTACCACTGACTTGAGTGCATCCTTAGAAAAACTTAATGTAACAAAAAACCCAAAACATTTTTGGAAATTGTATGCTCTCTAGCAACTCTGTATGAATTTTTATGCAGACAGTTTTATGAGTTATATAAAATGTTATAAAAATAGGAAACAAAAGGCAATTATCCTCTACTCCCCTGGTAGAAGCACAGACCACACACTCACAGCTCTAGAATGGACACACAAATATCACATTTCCTGAATAAATTCACACTGTTCAGATTACACAGACTCAAACATCCAGATGCCTGAATAATACATCCACAATATACTCACAGATCCAAATAAAAACATACACAAGCCTCCATCATGAAAACTATATTCTGTCCATATTCTCAGATTACATACATATAGCTCGTAACACCCAAATACACTCAGCCATCCCTCCACCTCCAAATTCCTCATACCAAAAATGTACACCTAAATTCTCATCTAGACACCATGAGCATACATAAAACTCATCTACTCTGAATACACACAAAACAGTAAAACATGTAACGTTACCTGTCTTTTCAAATGTATGCACACATATTCACAATATCTCACAGTACCGTCAAAATACACAGAACCACCCCACCATGAAAATACACACACACACACACACAACCTGAAACTCCATTCTTTGATTCCAACCTTCAATAATTTATTTATTTATTTAATTTTTTTGAGACAGGGTCTCACTCTGTCGCTCAGGCTGGAGTGCAGCAGATCAATCTTCTCTCACTGCAACCTCCGCCTCTCCAGTTCAAGTGATTCTCCTGCCTCAGCCTCCCAGGGAGCTTGGACTACAGGCGTGTACTCCCACGCCTAGCTAATTTTTGTATTTTTAGTAGAGAAGGGGTTTTACCATGTTGGCCAGTGAACTCCTTACCTCAGGTGATCTGCCCGCCTCAGGCTCCCAAAGTGCTGGGATTACAGGCATGAGCCACTGCACTCAGCCCAGTTATGACCTTCTTTAATCTGCAATCTCCATACAGACACCACCAACCCACACATGTGAATATATATTAGATTCTCACCAGTTAAATACATGTCAAATTGCAAACTAAGAAGTCATATAAACACATTGTTCACATACACACCCCATGTATCTCATACACCAAAGTCCAAAACAAATCTTTCTTACATTCTCAAGTATACACACTGACCCAACTTCCCAAGAAGACACACACACGTCTGCAGTAAATTTTAGATATAATACATGTGTAGCCCACAACTTACAAATAATATACCCTACTTTTTATTATAAATTCCACATAAGTAAGTGAGTAAGTGATTCTCATAGAAGCTTTTCTTGACTTTGGCCACACTCTTGCATCCACAACCAACTTGTGCTACCAAGTGAACAGACTACGACTAAAGGCCTGTTCTTCGACTTTGCAGCTGCTCATTATCATTGACAAATGAACGTATTGGAACATGCATGCTGGGTGATCATTCTGATTAAGTCAACAAGCTTCACAACTCACTCAGTGAGGATATCTGTGACAGGAGCTTCTTCTTTGCTGAACTGCGACATAGTTTCAGCAAACTGCTGAAGTTTTCCTCAAGCTCTTGTATTGTTCTAAATGTGAGGGGCATGGAGGAGACACACTGCAGTTCCCACTGCATTGTTAAACCTCCTCCCTCAGGTTGTGGTGAGCCGAGATCGCACCATTGCACTACAGCCTGGGTAACAAGAGCAAAACTCCAGCTCAAAAAAAAAAAAGAAAAAAGAAAAAAAGAATTAACATAATTAACATCAATTCTATACAATTTTTTCCCCAGAAAAGAGAAGAAAAGGGAATACTTCCCAGTTTATTATGTGAGGATATGATTTCCCTGACACAAAAATTGGACAAAGCATAGGAAAAAAAACACAAACTATTCACAATTTCTGGCAGAATAATCAATATAAAATAACACATTCCAGCTTATGAGGCCAGGGTTATCCTGATATTAAACCAGAAATAGTACCAAAAGAAGAAAGAAAGAGAAAAAGAAAGATACCCTTCATAAATATGATACAAAAATCCTTAACAAAATATTAGCAAATATAAATAATTTAAAAGTATGTGCCACAATCAAGTGGAATTTATTCCACAGATGCAAGGCTGGTTCAATATTCAAGAATCAATCAATGCAGTTTACCAAACCAACAGATTCAAGAAGTAAAATCACATGATCACACCAGTTGGTACAAAAGAAGCATTTAACAAAATTCAACTCCCATTCATAATAAAACCTCAACAAGATTGTTTCATAAAGTAGTCTTTGGAGCACTGATACTCTGTGGAAATTTGTGAGAAATAAAAATTATCATATTCCATCCCATATGTACTAAATCAGAATCTGAATTCAAATGCAAGTAAAGTGTCAGAAGCACTTTTCTCTAAGACAAAAACAGAAAAACTGTTTGTGCTTCTTCCTTCCTTCCCTCCCTCCCTCCCTCCCTCCCTTCTCTCTCTCTCTCTCTCTCTCTCTCTCACTCTATTTTTCTTTTTTGAGACAGAGTTTTCCTCTTGTCGCCCAGGCTGGAGTGCAATGGCACGATCTCGGCTCACTGCAACCTCCAACTTCCAGGATCAAGCAATTATCCTGCCTCAGCCTTCTGAGTAGCTGGGATTACAGGTTCCCGCCACCAAGCCTGACTAAATTTTGTATTTTTAGTGGAGATGGGGTTTCACCATGTTGGCCAGGTTGGTCTCTAACTCCCAACCTTAGGTGATCCACCCGCCTTGGCCTCCCAAAGTGCTGGATTACAGGTGTGAGCCACCGAGTCTGGCCTGTTGGTACACTTTCAACAGGGTTACTGTTGAAGACTGTTCTGTCATTATCCATCTGAATATCTCTCAAAAAATTTCTCCAACATCAAGAACCATGATAAATGGTTCTTGTTAAAAATATACACCATGTATCCAATTTCCATTATTGCTATGTCTTTCAGGAAGATCAGAGACAATTTAACAGTTCAAAGTTCATAACCATGTCAGACCATAAATTCTAAACTTGACCTGGGGTTGACAGTCTCTTCTTCATTTTCTCTGATCTTAGTTTTTATTTATCTAGTCTTGTCATCTTACTATGAAGATTGTTAGATGTCTCCTAAATCCACTAAAAGTAAAAGAAAGTAACAAATAAATAGATGAACAAATAAGAACTTACCAAGGACTTGGTCATTATTGGCTCTTCAGACGAAGGGGCAGAGATCTGAGAAAAACAGATAAGCAGAGTTACAGATGGGAGAAGGAAGTGTGCCAGTGTCACCCATGGACACATACATCAGTTAGTGCCCGTGTACCTTACTCAAAAATTTATTTCTAGAGCTACAACATTAAAATGTCATCCCATCATTGCATATTGTACAAAGATTTAAGTGCAAAAGTTTTACCATAACATGGTTAATAAAAAAAAAAAGATTAGATTATCCAACATGGTGGTTGTCAAAAAAAATTAGAAACATTTAAATATCCAATAATGGTGGATTGCTTAAATATTTTATAAAATATCCAAAGGACATACTGTTCTATTACATTATCATACTGTGTGATTTCACAGGCCTATAAGTTATCACCAAGCCTGGTACCTAACTCCTCACTGTCACTCTTTAATCTGCTCTAAGTGTCAATTGCTACCCAGTAACTGTACTCCCAAAGCCATTACTGAAATCTCAGATTCACTAATTCCCATGCCTTCCTGCCCATGAGCCCTGAATCATTCATCCCACAATTCCTGATCAGAGAGCCTTCAATTCCTCTACTCTAATGGTCCTGGCTCCCTACCTATCAATCCCATATGTCCATGACTGGCCTCCATGCCTGTATCTCCATCAGACATCCTAAGAGTCCCAATCCTAGGCACACCTGTACCTGCACTGGGGCCTTAGCACACAAACACATCTCCCACCGCTGACAAAACTAGGCCATAAACTCCTCCACACACGCAAACAGGAACTAAATCAATGAACAAATCTGGGGAAATTATTGAATGCATAGGATACATTTATAAATAGAAAACACTTCTAAGTGAAAAACCAGACTATTCAGAGAAAGAATGAAGGAGATAAGAAAACTCTTCATTTGCACTACTGAAAGCGATATGATGTCAGAAATAGCAACTAAAAAACCACTCTTCTGTCAGGGTAAGAGAGACATTTTCAGAAATAAAAGCACTTGCATAGTGTATCTCTATCTTTGAGAAAAATACCGAAAGAAGTAGTCCAAATAAATGTAAAATAAATCTCAGGAGAAATCTTCAATAGGAAAATACTGTTCAGTAATAATTCTTGCAAAATATACATAATTACAAAAATGGACAATGTGACAATGTGATCATGAGGCCACTAAAGAGAAAATTAATAATGTCCTATGATAGAACGTTCCTAATCATCTCAGGAATAAACAGAAAAAATGGGGTGCAGAATGGAAACAATGAGCAGAAATTTCATCCATCCAATCAAAATATATAAAGAAAAGGCAGAAAATAAAAAGAGCTAAGTACTGAACATCAAATGAAAGGCATACAATCAGATAAATCATTATTACAATAAATAGAGGTAAAATTCTATCAACAGAGACTATAAGTTGGATTAGAAAAAAACAAAGGTATCTATTGTAAACAAATAGGTAATGTAACATAGAAACAGATATGGATACAAAATAAAGCTCTGGGCAAAGACACATCATCCAAATGCAACAAAAGTAAAAACAAGTGGCCATGTAAGTATCAACGTGGCATTTTTTAAATATATTCTCGATATTAACCTCATATATGGATGCATGATCTGCAAATATTTTCTTGCAATCCATGAGTTGCCTTTTCACTCTACTGATGGTGTCCTTTGATGCACAAAACACTTTTATTTTGATTAAATCTATCTATTCTCTTATTCCCTGTGCTGTTGGTGTCTTTGATCCAAGAAATCATTGCAAAACCCAAATCACGAAACTTTTCCTTTATGCTTTCTTCTAAGACCTTTATAGTTTTAAGTCTTATATTTAGACCTTTAATCCAGTTTGAGTTAGTTTATGTATAAATACTATGTATATATCCACATGCAAAGAGTGAGGTTAAGCTCTTATTTATACTATATATATACATATGGTGTGTGTGTGTGTATATATATAAATATATATAGTATAGTATGTATCATATATAGCAAATATATAAAGCATATAATAGACATGTATATAGTGTATACATATATAGTATGTAATATATATATGCATATATACTATATACACACACTATATGTTTTAAATATATGTACAAATATATTTTAAAACGCTCAACATCACTGATGATTAGAGAAATGCAAATCCAAACCAAATATATGTTATATATTATATATGCATTAGCTAGAATATATTAATCAACTATAATATATATTATATATTATATTATATGTATTATATATTACATGTAATAGCATTTATATCGTTATTATATATCCAAAGGAATATAAATCATTCTATTACAAAAATACATGCGCATGTATGTTCACTGCAGCACTGTTCACAACAGCAAACACATGGAATAACCCAAATGCTCATCAACAGTATACTGGATAAAGAAAATGTGGGCTATATATACACCATGGAGCACCATGCAGCCATGAAAATGAATCAGATCATGTCTTTTTCAGACACATAGATGAAGCTGGAAGCCACTATCCTCAACAAACTAACACAGGGACACAAAAGCAAATATTACACATTCTCACTTATAAGTGGGAGCTGAACAATGAGACCATGTGGACACAGGGAGGAGAACAACACACACTGCACTTGTTGGGGGAGGGCAGTGGTAGGGAGAGCATCAGGAAAAATGGCTAATGCATGCTGAGTTTAGTACCTAGGTGATGGGATGACAGATGCAGCAAACTACCATGGTACACATTGACCTGTGTAAGAAAACTGCCTGTCCTGCACATGTACCCCAGAACTATAAAGAAAATAAACACACAAATAAAATTTTTAAAATATTATCCTAATTGTATGTGAGTAGGTCCCTTTGATTGAAAGTGAAATGGAAACAATTAAAAAAAAAAACCTTACAATTCAAAATTTACAAAACTAAATAGGCATCCTAAGAGACTGAAGAGAGAGATCGATCCAAGATGGCCGACCACTAACAGCTCAGGATTGTAGCTCCCAGTGAAAGCTCAGAGAACGAGACGACGCCACATCTTTACACGAATTTTCGTCACTCACCGATTAGCCGATTCCCAGTGGAGGAGCCCCATGGGTCACCAGCGTGACTCTTGTGGCCGCCGCAGCGGTTTTGCCGGCGTCTCGGCGCAGCAGCTCTTCATGTAGAGCCAACGGGACTGCTTCCCCTACTGACCGGAGTTTGGAGCTCCGGGAAGTCACAGCCGCTTGTTGCAGACTCAAGAGGGAAGCCAGACCAGAGATTCCCGGGCAGAAGAGCACCATCAGTCTTATCACTGCTATTTAGGCCGCCTCAGTGGGTTGCTCGGATCCCAGCACTGGGAATCAATAAATCAGACGTCGACTCAGAAACCTAATTAGAAAGGCGTTTCATCTACAATGAAGGGAAAAAAACAGCCTAAGAAGGCCGAGTATACCCAAAATCAGAACCCATCAGCAACGGAACAAGCCCTGATGGAAAAGGACTCATCAGCAACCAAACAAGCCCTGTTGGAAAAGGACTCATCAGTAACGGAACAAGCCCTGATGGAAAAGGACTGTGTTCCATTATCTGAAGTAGGCTTTAAAAGGTGGATGATAAGAAACTTCTGGGAGTTAAAGGAACTTGTTCTAACCCAATGTAAAGAAACTAAGAACTTGGAAAAAAGGTTAGATGAAATGTTGAAAAGAATAGACAATATAGAGAGGAATACAAATGAACTTATGGAGTTGAAAAATACAACACGAGAACTTACTGAAATATGTACAAGCTTAAACAGCCGAATGGATCAAGCAGAAGAAAAGGTATCAGAGGTCGAAGACCAACTTAATGAAACAAAATGACAAGACAAGAATAGAGAAAAAAGGATAAAAAGGAATGAGCAAAGTCTCCAAGCAATATGGGACTATGTGAAAAGACCTAATATACGCTTGATTGGTGTACCTGAATGTGACGGAGAGAATGAATTCAAGCTGGAAAATACTCTCCAGGACATTATCCAGGAAAATTTTCCTAATTTAGCAAAACAGGACACTATTCAACCCCAGGCAATACAGAGAACACCACAAAGATATTCCTCAAGAAGACCAACCCCAAGGCACATAATCGTTAGATTCACCAAGATCGAAACGAAGGAGAAAATATTAAGGGCAGCCAGAGAGAAAGATCAAGTTACCCATAAAGGTAAGCCTATTAGACTTACAGCAGATCTCTCAATGGAAACCCTACAAGCTAGAAGAGAGTGGGGGCCAATATTCAATATACTTAATCAACAGAACTTTCAGCCCAGAATTTCATATCCTGCCAATTTAAGCTTTACATTTGAAGGAAAAATAAAATCTTTTAGGAACAAGCAAGTACTCAGAGATTTTATTACCACCAGGCCTGCTTTACAAGAACTTCTAAAAGAAGCATTATACGGAGGGGACTCAAGATGGCGCTGTGAGAACAACCCAGGATTGGAGCCCGCGTTGAATCCGCAAACGGTGAGTCAGTGCTGCATTTCCAGACTGATCTTTGTTGCCCACAGAACGGGGAAACTCCCAAGTATAAAAAGACACGGGACGCCAGGCAGTAGGTCTGCCTGGCAAAGCCAGCAGCCGGGGCGGCGGCGGCCGGCCCTACCCAGCAATCCCCACAGGGTGCGCTTTCCGGGTGCCTTGTTGAACCGGCAACCTGAGACTTGAGAGGGCTGGACTTGAGACCGAATGAGACTTGCACAGAAGCCCAGCCCAGGGGATTGCAGGGACAGATCGTTTGGGAAACCCAGTGGGACGAACAAAACCGCGATTTCAAACTATCCCGGGCAGACGGTCCGAGACGCTCTGTGGGGGAGGGGCGTCCACCACTACGGAGGCAACCTGCCCCAACTGATATACACGCCCACTGCTGAGGCAGCCAGCCGTTGCAGAGGCAACCCGCCCCAACTGAGATACACGCCCACTGCTGACACAGCCAGCCGTTGCCGAGGCAACCCGTCCCTACTGAGATACACGCCCACTGCTGAAGCAGCCTGCCTTGCTGAGGCAACACGCTACAACGAAGAGACTCCGCCGCAGGGC